ACATTTTCTTCATTCATTCATCAATGGATGTTTAGGTTGCTTCCTCCTCTTGGCAAAATAATGCTGCAGTAAACATAAGTCTGCAAATATATCGTTGAAATCCTGCTGATAATTCTTTCAGATAGACACCTAAAAGTGAGATTTCTGGATCATACAGTGATCTATTTTTTAAAAAGAATTTTATTTTTTAGAGCAGTTTTAGGTTCACAGCAAAACTGAGAGGAAGGAACAGAGATATTTCCATATGCTTCCTGTCCTACATATGTCTGGCCTCACCCACTATCAACTCCCCCAGCACAGTGGAACATTTGATACAGCTGATGAACCCACAATGACACATCAGAAAGTCCATACGAGGGGGGGGCCCAACAAAAACAGGAATTATCTTCTGAGAGTGCAGTACAGGCTTCCCCCACTAGGTAAGTGTTCTAGGAACTCATCTGTATCAGTGTACCAGCTGGTGTTGTTGTGAGAGGCTATGCTTGGCTTCAGTGAATCTTTTTGAAAACTCTTTGGTCAATGCTTCTTCCCATTTCATGATGGGTGACTTACAAGTGCACCTGCCCACACCACAGAGTGTTCAGCAGTGTTTGACCAAAACCAGCATGACCCCCATGCCCTAACCTCCCTATTCACCCAGTCTTACCCCATGTGACTTTCTTTTGTTTCCTCGGATGAAAAAAGCACTCAAAGAGAAATGCTTTGCTGATGTGGAAGAGGTGAAACAAAAAACAGCAGCCTTGACTGGTATGGCTCAGTGGATTGAGTGCCAGCCTGCAAACCAAAGGGTTGCCAGTTCAATGCCCAGTGTAGGACACATGCCTGGGTTGCAGGCCAGGTCTCTAGTGCAGGGCATGTAAGAAACAACCACACATTGATGTTTCTCTCCCTCTCTTTTTCCATCCCTTCCCCCCTCTCTAAAAATGAATAAATAAAATATTAGAAAAAAAACAAACAGCAGAAGCGCTAAAAGGCATCAAAACCAAAGAGTTCAAAACTGTTTTTGAGCAGTAGAAAAAACATCTCCATAGGTGTACTGCATCAAATGGACAGTACTTTTAAAGTGACTGAAGTTTAAAACATATAAGAATAAATACACAATTTTTAATAAACTAATTCTGGGGTCCCCGCTCACAGTTTACATTAGGTTTTACTCTTGGTTTTGTCCATTTTATGGGCATGGCCAAATGTATAATTCCACGTATCCAACTTAGGGCACTCTTACTGTCCTGACAATCCTCTATGGTGATTCTATTTTTAAATTTTTCAGGAACTTCATGCTGTTTTCCATAGTGGATGCATCGTTTTACATTCCTACCAACAGTGTTCCAACTTCTCTGTATCCTGACCAACACTCATTATTTTCTGTTTTGTGGGGTGTTTTGTTTCTGATTGTGGCCAACCTATTGGGTGTGAGGTAGTCTCTCACTATAGTTTTAATTTGCATTTTCCTTATGATTAGTGATGTTCAGCATTTTCTGATGCCTTTGTTATTAACCATTTGTATATCTTTGGAGAAATGTCTGTTCAAGTCATTCTTCATTATCTAATTAGGCTGTTTTTGTTGGTGGTGGTGAGCTGTAAGGGTTCTTTATATAATCTGGGTATTAACTCCTTACCTGGACATTACCCTTTACAAGATTTGCAAATATTTTCTTCAATCCCACGGGCTGCTTTTTCACTCTGTTTTGCCCTTTGATGCACAGAGTTCTGAATTTTGATGTGGTCCAATTTATGTATTTTTTTGTTGCCTGTGCTTTTGGTTCATATTAAAGAAATTATCACCAAATCCAATGTCATGAAGCTCTCTTCCAGGTTTTCTTCTGAGAGCTTTAGAGTTTGCTCATGCACTTTGGGCTCTTTTGTCAACTTTCAACAATTCTCTCTTACAGATTTGGAAATTTCCAACTTAAACCTAAATTATCTCTTAAAGATATTTCTCTCTGAAATTAATGATTGAGATCTATATGTTTGAGGTCAAAGGACCTATATATCTTCTAATAGAAGTACAGTTGCAACAATATGTGGACACCTGGGATTTCCTCTCTATTATAATTTCATAGTTTTTCTATTTGCTTTTTAAAATGATGATCTTCTCCATCTTCCATTGCTGGGCTTCTTGATGTTGCCATTATTGTTACTTTTTTAATATCTAAACTGTTTGCAAACAGCTGCCTCAAAAGGCTGAGGGTGTGCCTTTTTTGCTAGTTACCAATTTAAGAAGTCTGTTTTCTGAATAATGTTTATTCATTCATATGTGTGAACATCTGCTTTGTGCAAGACACTGTGGGAAATACAAAGCTGCAAGACTCACCAAGAGGGTCTTCTAACAGGACCTTCCTAGGCCACACTCAGTATCATATTGCTTGGAAGGCTGCTGGCCTGGGAACAGAGCATGCTGGCAGGAAACCAGGGCCTTTCTTCCCTACGGATCAACACAGTAGGGAACATAGCCAACAAGGAACTAGCTCCCTTTTGGCCTTCCGGATGACAAGCCAGGTTCAGGGTCCAAGACACATCCAGTAGGTTCAGGAGAACATGTTACAACAGCCATCCCCAACCTTTTTGGCACCAGGGACTGGTTTCATGGAAGACAATTTTCCCACAGACTTGGGCGGGTGGTGGGGGATGGCTTTATAGCCTGCCACCAGATGCAGGTTAGTTGTTACTTGCCACTGACTAATAGGGTTCTGATAATGAGTCTGCCAGCAATTGATTTATTATGGTCTCTGTGGTCAAACCTGTCTGCTGATGGTGGTCTGTATTTGCAGCTGCTTTGCAGCCCTAGCATCACCGCCTCTGCTCATCAGTCATTAGATGCTTATAAGGAGCGCACAGCCTAGGATCCTCACATGCACAGTTCACAGAAGGGTTTGTGCTCCTGTGAGAACGGAATGCCCCTGCTGATCTGACAGGAGCCACGCTGCTGTGTGTACAGCTATGTCTGGAAGCTGCGCAGGTGGTAATGTGAGCAATGGGGAGTGGCTGTAAATACTGATGAAGCTTTGCTTGCTCGCCTGCTGCTCATTTCCTGCTGTGGCCCAAGGATTGGGGACCCCTGTGTTAGAAGATAGTTCAACACTACATCATAGCTTTAAATGCCAGGGTAAGACACATAAAGTTTCATTTTATTACTTTACCACTGATATCTGGGCAATGGATTAACACGATTGAAGCTCCAAGAATATTAATACGGCAACAGCATGTAAGAGAGCTAGAAGTAGAGAGAGACTGGAGATAGGAAGACCATTACATTCCACTGGTGGAATAATAAAAAGATTTTCACAAAGGTAGCAATGTACTTTTTGCCAGATGCTGATCTAATCATGTTATGGAGAGGTATTAACTCTCCATAACAATGCTATGAGGTAGTTTAGGTACACACATTATCCCTATTTCATAGATGGAGAAACTGAGGTATGGGGAGATCAAGCAACTTGTCCAGGGTCTCACAGCTACTACATGGAAGGACCAATGTGTGAACCCAGATAATCTAGCTCTAGAGGCCATACTCCTAACCACTCAGTGACCCTACCTCCCAGAGTACACGGTATATGCTTACACTGTCTACGGTTTTAGGAAAACCCTTAAAGAGTGTCCCTCCCTAAGAACTCTGATAATACAAGGCTGATCATTCTGATATCAGACTCAGCACATCAACACTTTGGAGGATGTCATGTGGGAATAGAAAATGAAATCTTAAAGAGTAGCCAATACCTCTTTATTCAGTGCCCACAAGTATCCAATACTCTTCACACATCATCTCATTTAATCCTCACAACACTCTATGCCAGGAGAATTATTTTAAATTCACATTTTATCAGATGAGGCTGTACTTCCTGTCCTTCATTACAGAGCCAGTCAGTGGCAGAAGCAGAGTTAGAATCCAGATCGAAACAAACCCATGCTCTTCCTGCCATCATTTAGCTGTGGACAGGAATACCTCCAGTCTGTGGTGTCTCTCCCTCAGAGGCTAGCACCCCATCAGAAAGACTTCGGAGCCACGCTAGTGTGGGGACAGCTGTGTCCCCTAAGCTGCTTCTCCACCCAGCTAGAAGTCATCGCGGAGTCAACCCCCATTCAGACGAGACCGGGTGAGTTCAGGGTGGTGTGGCCGTAGACATGAGACAACCCTTGTTCAAGGAAACTAACCTAGTCTGCATCTGGGCAGGACTGAGGCAGCTCTGAGAAATCCTAACACACAAAATAGAAACACAAAACCTCAAAAAGTCCAAAAACACAGGCTTTGGGGGTGACCAGTACATGGCCCTCTGCAAAGAGAGGTTTGAAAAACTCTCCGAAGAAGAGTTAGGGGAGTCGTAAGGAACTGGGGACAGCACCTGGAGGTTAGAAACCTGAGTTCAGGTTAGGAAACTGACTGCTGGTTTTCTCGGCAAACTCCCTATGTTTAACCTTAAAGTCCTTCAAGACTTTGTTTTTTTTTTTTTTTAGAAAAGTGGTTAAGACATAATGTTAAATTAAAAAGGGAACACAAATTTATTTACATCAACATACTGAAAATTGGTGGAACTTTGGTTTTTACTTCATTTTTTGGTGAACTTTTCAAATTTCCTATAAAAGACATATATTACATTGTTATCCAGAGGTAAAAATAAATATACTAATTGAAATACTTTTCAGAAATACCACCCCCCCCCAATTTTACCTGGAGTAGTCTAGTAATTCCCAAATACTCAAACAGGATACACAAAAATCACCTGAGACATCTGTTAAAAATCACCAGAGTCCAAAGACCTACTTAGTCAGAATTTCCCTGGGTGGGGCCCAAAGTCTGGAGTTTTAACAAGCGCCCTAGGTAACTATAGCTTTTTTTTTTTTATCAAGGAAGTCCAAAAGTACTTTCAGGTCTCGTTTTCTCTCTAAGGTTCTTTGATGATTTCTTTTTAAAGCCAGGTCAGATTTGTACTGAAATGCAAACACATGAAATTTCACAGTGAGCCAGTGTCTGGGGCACTGACTCAAAGGGCCTCAAGTCTCACCATTCATCTCTGCAAACTTCTGAACATCACTCAGGGTTTTCAGTTCTTGCCTTGGACATGCTGCTACGCACAGAGCTTCAGACTTGATCTTCCGGTTTATCAAGTCCAGATTGCATGGATCCAAAAAGAATACATACCTAAAGCATGGAGAAAAATATTGAAATGCTATTTTGCAGAACAGATTCTGGTTCACTGAGTATAAGCAAAGAACATCTATTCCATACTCCTTCTCAGATGTAATCATAGATGTGCAAACACTTCACAAATTTAATCACAGGTAATTTTTTTAGAGAATAATTTCTTAGCCCTGGCCCATGTGGCTCAGTTGGTTGGAGCACTGTCCCATAAACCAGAAGTGGCAGGTTTGATTCCTGGTCAGGGCACATAACCTAGGTTGAGGGTTTTGTCCCCAGCAGGGGCATAAATGAGAGGCAACCAATCAGTGATTTTCACATCAATGTTTCTCTGAAACTAACTCCCTCTCTCTCCCCATTTCCTTTCCTTTTTCTCTTGTTCCCTTCCTCTCTCTCTAGAAGCAATGAAAAAAATGTTCTCAGGTGAGGATAAAAAAAATTTTTTAAAGAATAATTGCTTATAAATATACAATTAAAAGTAAAAATAAATTGTAGGACTCATATTTTTCATTATTTTTATAATATTTACATTTTTGTCATGTGACTTTATAATTAGAAATTATGTACTTTAGTGTTTTTTAAATAATTGATTTTAGGATTTTTTTGCAAAAATTACTGTAACATCCTAATACTGCCTTATAACATGAATTGTAGTTCATACGCAAACTTTAGTTAATAAATATATAATTATATAAACTGTCTAATTATAAAAATGAATATACAAAACTTTGGCTAATGAATATATAATTATAAAAATGCATTATTAAATAAATAAAGTTGAATAAAGACTAGAGGGAAATATACCAACATAGTCATTTCTGGGTATTAGAATAAAGTAATTTTAATTTTCTTTATTTTTTAGAATTCTCATCATGTAGAAAAAAATGAATATTACTTTTGAATTGATAACTATAATAAATATTATTTATTAAAATGGCCCACTTCATATAAACAAAATAATCCCCAAATCATAAATTATCCCTTTTGTATACTGTACATTTATATTTTAGAAAAGGCAAGATTCAGTAGAAATTACATTAAATCAGTTGTTTAATGTTAGGAAGTTGAAGAGGTATCAGATTGCAGATATTGTCATTTGCTGAAAGAGAAAGTCAGAGGCAAACATTCTTCACTGAGATCAGCAAAGCCTAATATTGATTAAGGGAGGGCGTCCAAACAGGAATGAGAGATAACAGTGAAAGAACCCCAGCCCTGGGCTCACATCTACTGGGTCCATGGAATCTTTCATCAGCCAACAGCCTTTCCCGCACTGTTAAACTGTGTTGCTACACAAACTATAGTTCAAATGAGAAAATATAGCAAAGTATAAGAATTAGGTGAGAAAACTGAAAAGTAAAAAAACTGATATAAAGTCAATCGAAACCTACATAATTTTATTTAACTAATGTCATCCCAACCCATTTAATTAAAAAATATAAAGTCAATACACGTGCAGGGACAAACAATATGAAGGGATACTGGAAAAAATTAAATAGAAAAGACCAGTGTGTGTGTGTTGGTGGGGGGCTGGGTAGGCTAGACTGGCCTTTGCAGATGGACTAACACTTAACATCGCATACTTCCATGGAGCAGGGGACCAGGGACTCGGGGTGAAGTGCAAGTATAAGCTACAAACCACCAAACTAAAAAAAAAAATTTGTAACTTCCTTAGAGACTCCAATGCCATTAATATCTGTGCAGATAAAAGGAAAGGAAAGAAGTCAGGCAGAAAGATGTGGTCCCGAAGGAGGATTCACGGACTGCTTCTGTGGCTGATGACAGGGAGCTGGAGCACACAGAAGACTGGGTCAACCTGTCTGTGGGAGCCATGGCTCCCTTACTAACTGTCCCCCCAGCTGTCCTGTCCATCTTATGCAGCATGCCCATCTCTGGGACCCTGCCGAAGCTAGCTCCTGGCTAGGGAACACTCACATCCTTGATGAAGGTGTCATAAAACTCTTGAATTATATACTACCACCACTAATAATAATAATACTATTAACAATAAAAATAATAATGAGAATGGTAGCCAATATTTATGGAGTACTTACTATGTACCAGGCACTGTATTAAACCCTGTACACACATTTATCCTCATGACTGCCCATTTTATATTTCTGTAGGGGAAGGTAGGCAGGGAGGGGGGGCAGCGGAACTGGGGTGAGGAAGAGGAGTTAAGTGCACAGTTCTAAGTGATGAGCAATGCCTTGAAAAATATCTGGAAAACCCACACAGCAGTAGAACAGCAGGTTTGAGGCAAAGAAGAGAAAGCCAGAGGCTGCCAGGACCTTGCAGCTGGACCAGAAACAGTGCCTTTCACTGAGAACAGATGCTTTGTCTGACGGTCCTGCAGGCTCTGCCCAAACCTAGGCCAAAAGTGCCCTCACTACCTCTCCAACTTCTTTGACTTGTCATAGTGACTGGGCAGCAGCCTTAGACCTCGCAGGGGTCAGACCAATCTGAACTTGCTTTCTGGTTCTCTTTCTTACTAGCTGTCTGACCTTGGGAAATATATGTGTCCTCCTGAGCCTCAGTTTCCTTATATTTAAAACTGAATAGCACCAATTTTACAGATTGTTGTCAGGTTATTGGTAATGTACATAAAGCACCTAACAGTCAGTATGTATTCAGTGATTCATACCATTAAGGAAACTAACTTTACACACTTTACATTTGATGGTATGGTCCTAAATTCAACGCTTTGTTCTGATATGGACATAAAACAGGACTAAATACTAATATTCAGCTTTCATTTGGAAGAAAAACCTGTGTTGGCATATTCATGACTGTCGGGTCATTAGCCTGGACAAGGACGAAGGATGCCCCCAGAACTGATCTAGCACAAGGAGAAGGACACGGTGGGAGAGAAGAATTCTACAACGGCTGTGACACTGTAGAACTGACAGCGCTCATGTTTTAGCCTGTGTGTGGTTTGTGAGAATCCACTTCAGCAGAACTACACAAAACCATTTTAAATGGTTTTCTCGGGAGATGCGCTCACAGACATAAACCATTACACTCAAAACCATCACCCAATTCCTTACACGCTGCACGTATTCACAGACACATCCATGCAACACATGCGTGCACCTGCCCACACAATGTTTTAAATAATTTATAGGTGTCAGATTAAGATTCTACCAACACTGACTGGATGTTTGGGTGCCGGGAACTGTCACGTTCACAAGTTTATATGATCCTCACAACAACTTTTGACAGAGAGGCCATCACCATTCCACAGAAGACAAAACCGAGACCCCGAGGGATGAACCACACAGCCCAAGAAGGCTGGTTGGTGCTGAAGCACGAATTCAAGTCGAGTCGTCCTGATTCTGAGTTTCACTCTGTCTCCAATCTGCTCGACTCTCAAATTATTTCCTACAAACACAATAATCTTAGCTGTTCTGTATTAACTTTGCATATTGTTTCCAGTGTTATGAAGTTTATCCGGTCCAGGGCAACATGTTCATAAGTGGTTATCATTCGACTAATTAGTATTTAACTGAATATTTCAGAGTAGGAAAAGTGCTTGCATCTTTTCAAATTTGTGAAAATTTATGATTCACTAAAAGCGCACTTTCTTGCATTTTGATTTGAAAATGCACTTACCCAGGCAAATAAATCCTTAGGTTCAGTTTTTACTTCGAATGAAATGAACTATTTGTGGCAACTATATTATTTTTTTTAAATGAAACAAAAACCCAATTCTAAAATAAGCATGGCACTGGCAGACCAGATTATTATAAATAACAAGTCTACAAATCAGTGTTTTTCAGCTGAGAGAGTGACAGACAGCTGGTGAGGGGCTATAAAATGTTCTAGAAAGGTCTCTTAAAACTTTCAGCTACTTTTCCTATGCCACCAGGCAAACAGCTGGGAGAGGGATGGGGCGTATGAATTCTGAAAAAGCGCCTCGAGAAACCCGGACTGCGTGCCATGGCCCCTGTGCCCTAGCCTTGCAGGATGGAGCCCCACTGTCAGAGATAAGCCAAAAACCTAAGGTAAGAGTAAATTTTTATTGCTATCCTCACTAAATCTCTTACTACATCTATTAATAAAAACAACTTTGTTGACGTTTCACATCCTTTAGGAGTTGGAATGAATAAAATACCAAAAGTGGGAATTAAAGAAGGACGAGAAGCAAAAAGAGAAAAATACTTCACCAAGTAGACAGTTTGACACCTGCAGGCATTGGTGTATATAACACACACACGGCATGATCACATGGTATTGAGAACATTTGCAAAAAGAATTGCAAAACAGCCTATGCCAGCTTTGACCTTAAAAGTTAGGGTAATGAAGAAAAATGCTTGGACTAAACTGTAAAGCAAACACTACAGAGGACCGCAGTTAGGGCTTATAAATACATATATTGCAGTCAAAATAATTAAAAAGACAAAAGAAAAAAGAAAACAAACAAAAAAGGAAAAATCATGGAATAAAGAAAAAATATTGTAGTAGAGGTAGTTTCTGGGAATTACTGAATGGGAGAAAAAGGTAAATTCATTTCAACTTGAAATTTTTGAAAAACAGTAACAAGTCATCCCCCAAAATGCAGGACAGGAGAGATACCTAAATACAATGTCCATCTACACAGCGAACTCCAGGGGACAGACAACCAAAGATGAGAGCAGGGCCATGAGATGAGGAAAGGGCACTGAAGCACAGGAGCTCATGAAAATGGACAGAAGGCACAGAAAGGGGTGACCTTTAAAATTGTGCTCTGAGCAAGAAGATAACACTGGCCCTGGTGTAGCTCAGTCGGTTGGGTGTCATCCTGCAAAGTGAAAGGTCACCAGTTCAATTCCCAGTCAGAGGCACATGCCTGAGTTATATAGGCCAGCTCCCCAACTGGGGGCCTGTGAGAGGCAGCTGATTCAGCACATCAATGTTCCTTTCCCTCTCTTTCTCTCTCCCTTCCCCTTCTCTAAAATAAATAAATAAATAAATAAATATCTTTTTAAAAAGATAAGGGTTTTCAGAAACAACTATAAAGGACACAT